CAAAAGGTCCCTACCTTTCAAAGTTATTGTGCAAAATGTCCCTACCTTTTATTTTTTAGCATAATTAGCAGAAAAGGTCCCTACCTTTCAATATTATTGTGCAAAACGTCCCTACTTTTCATTTTTAGTATTTTTACCCCTACATTTCACCTTTCATTGCGCAAAAAGTCCTTTTCATCCTTTTTTTTTTCAATAAAATGACGATTTTACCCTCCAATTGAAATAAAACAAAAAGAAAAGAAAAAAATAATTAATTAATTACAATCATAGTTCTAAATTTTTCAAAACATTACAGATAAATCTTAAATTCTCCACTACCGCCACTTTCACAACCCCACCAAGCCACCACCTATAGATCCATATAGCACCACTTTTCGACCACAACACCTATCGGACTCCACCACCACCAGTGTCGCCTCACTCTCCCCAATATCCTCCTCCATAGTATTGGTCACCAATCTGTCCGAAACAACCACATTTACGGTGGTGGAGTCCGGTGGGCATGGTGGCCGAAAGGTGGTATTATGTGGATTTATAGTTGGCAGCTTGATAGGTTGTGAAAATGGTGGTGGTTGAGAATTTATGATTTATCTGTAATGTTTTGAAAGATTTAGAATTATGATTGTAATTAATTAATTATTTTTTTCTTTTCTTTTTATTTTATTTCAATAAGAGGGTAAAATCGTCATTTTATTGAAAAAATGGATGAAAATGACCTTTTGCGCAATGAAAGGTGAAATGTAGGGGTAAAAATGCTAAAAATGAAAGGTAGGGACGTTTTGAACAATAATATTGAAAGGTAGGGACCTTTTCTGCTAATTATGCTAAAAAATAAAAGGTAGGGACGTTTTGCACAATAACTTTGAAAGGTAGGGACCTTTTGTGCTAATTACCTTTTTGATTTAACGGAACATTTTAACGGAGAGTTGACAGAAAGACGTTTTGCGCAAAAAAAGGTAAAGGTAAGGGTGTAATCCGCCAAAAAATGAAAGGTAGGGACGTTTTTCACAAAAACACCGAAAGATAGGGATGTTTTGTGCTAATTACCCTTTTTATTATCTAAAAGGTACCGTTGATTTGAAATTATTATATTATCAAAAGTCGAGATTAACTTTAGTGGGATATGCAAATGTAGACTATCTCTCTGACTCACATAAAGCTAAAATACAAACAAGATGTGTATTTACACGTGGAGGAACAATTATATCATGGAGTTCAGTGAAGCAATCTTTGATAGCAATATTCTCAAATCATTTTGAAATTATTGCAATCCATGAAATAGGTCAAGAATGCTTATGGTTGAGGAACATGATCCTTCAAATCCAAACATCACATGGATTAATTTTAACAAAAGAAAGTCCAATAATTTCGTATGAAGATAGTTCAACTTGTATTGCAAAATTCAGAGGAGACTATATCAAAGGTGATAGGATGGAATGTATTTTTTCAAAATTCTTTCATACACATGAGTTTCAGAAGAATGAAGACATCTATATCCAACAAATTTGCTCAAGTAATAGTAGGGCCGATTTATTCACAAAGCACAACAGATGTTTACATTTAAGAATTTGGTTCATGAGATTGGAATGCATCGACTGAAAGACTTTCAGTGATCAACGTCAAGAAAAGTAGTTGTACTATTTTTCCTTCACTTAGGTTTTGTCCTACTGAATTTTCCTAACAATGTTTTAATAGGCATAATTTATTTTCATTACATCAAAATAACTATACTATTTTTCTTTCGTTTGATTTTTTTTTCATTGAAATTTTTTCAAACAAGGTTTTAATGAGATATGTATTTTATAATATGTCATTTAAGGGGGAATATTGTGAATGGTAAGTTTATTAGTGAATAACAATTGTAACCCTGCAATATAAAAATTATTACCTTTGTATCCCTAATTCTTCCTTATAAATATAGGGTTTTGATTTTTAACAAAATACACACAAATCGATTGATGTATATTCTCTCTTTTCATAACAAAATTTTATTTATATGGAAGGTTTTTGTAAATTTTAAAATAAGAAGCCGTCTTGACAATTATCATAAATCTCAATTATTATTATTATTTTGTAATTTAACCATTTTGTTACTTTTCTTCAAATGGCCTCAAATAATTTAATTTTGTCTTAAATCAACATTTCCTGGTTAATTAGTTCAAATGATTTCAATTTTATTTTTTTTAATTCAGGACTTCAATTTTTTTGGAAAAGTCGTACTATTCATCTCCAACCTTTAAGTGAAGCAACGATCCCAATTATTTTTTTGTCTAGTTTTTGTTCTCAACTTTTTAAAAATTTGCAGGTTTCTCTGTTGGCAGTTTTATCTTATCCTTTAACTTAAACAAATAATAATAATAATAATAATAATAATAATAATAATAATAATAATAATAATAATAATAATCAAGCAAGAGACCCCCCCCCCCAAAAAAGGGAGAAATAAAAGACAAAACAAAAATTAAAAACATTTTCTTCCACCTTGAACCACAGCCTAAGCCCCCTCTGTATAACCAGTGTGGTGGGGGCGTCTTTCCCCAATATTTGCCCCAATATTTGCCATCGACTGTAATGGCAAAACAAAGAGAAAATCACTTGGTCTTTCAGTACGCCACCGTTAGTTGCGATGAAAATTAGAGAGAGAACTCCCTCGTCAATTGTCACAGTAATGATTGGAATCAAAGGCGGATCCAGACATGTTCCATTGTGGAATTTAGTTATTGGCGCTCGAACGTCTTTTTCTAACCATGTCTAGCACTCCGATGACGTTTACAATAGTGCAGTACATATTATATACTTAACACACTCTTAACACTAGGTAACAAAAAGCCTCAATTATAACTCAAGAATTACAATACAAACCTCAATAATGATGTAGGGGTGAGGGTACGCTTTTTATATCCTGCAATCACGCTTAGAAAGTATTTGATGGGAATTAAAATTAAATTTTTACTGGATTGTGATAGAAGTTTGTGAATTATATAGTTGAAAAATTGTGAAATTCATAAAAGATGTGATTAAATATTGATTGTTTGATTTTAACTCAAATTATAATCAGATTTTAATTCAAACAAAACACGCTCTTTGTTTCCTTGCAGTACCAAGAGTCAATTCATCTATATTAGAGAGAGAGAGAGAGAGACTAATAATAACCATAATCAGTTGAGTTGCTAAAATTAAAATTAGAGGAATATTATTCTGTTATCTTGTTTTGTTTTTGCATATAATGAGTTTGGTTTGTGTATCAAGTAGACCTCTTTTATCATTTGCTTTATTATTTTTCTTCCAATATCCTCTTTTCAAGTAGTATCTCTAAATTGCTTGCTTGTTTTTAAGTTATACTAATATTTTATAATTTATAACCTCGGACCAAATACAAACAGAAGTTTTCATCGCTCTCTTTGGAGTACAAAGTAAATGGCAAGTACAGAAATAATAATAAAAAAACAAAAAAATCAAAAAATTTTGCAGGGGTAACTTGACTCCTATCCGTCAGTAATTTAAGGATGACAATTTGAACTGTCAAAACTGAAAATCGCGATTAACCGAAACAAACGGAGCGAAAAAATCGAACCGATGGTGCAATAGGACGGGTATGGTATTCGATTTTAATAACCCGGTTCGGGGCGATCCGGGTATGATATTTACGCCGTCGCCCCGAACTGAACTGATTATCTGTTAAATTTATTTTTTTCCATCTAAATAGTGATCCAATGCAAAAACATGCATTAAAAAAATAATAATAATTTTGCAAACTCCACAAGGGTCATTTTTCTTCTTTTGCAGTCACACATGATAGTTATCAACTCACTCGCTCTTGAAGTGAATTCAATCAACAATTTCAGTTTCAAAAAACTTATTCTCTTATAGTAACTCTGATCATTTGATTAGTTTTAGGCATCTGGATTGACTTGAAATTAAGTATATGTAGTCTTTGCCTTTCTTGATTTTGTCATTAGTAACCTAGACATCATCCTTGGTATCAAAAATCGTCGCCTTCTTACAAATGTACTCTCTGTTGGCCATTTTTACAATTTTGATCTGGTAAGTGATCAACAATGCAAATTGTTTGAAATGCTCCAATATAATTCACTCGACTATCAGTTGATAATCATCACGTGTGACTTTTTTTCATAAATTATTTTTTTTTCAATTTGAGGACTTGACCTATGAAAAATAATTTATTTTCATGGTTATTAACCACCCCCGAACTGATCGAACCGAAATCGACTTACGTGGTTATGGTATGGCAAAAAAATTGGTAGTTCTGTAATGATTTTGACCTAGTTGACCCCGAATCAAACCGTTGCCAACCCTCCAGTAAGTGGAGTGTTGGGGTGAGGAAAAAATTGTCTTCGTTTTTTCTTTTTTGTTCTGAAGTCTTATTTATTTATTTATTCCATTTTTTTCATCAATTGTTGTAAATTTATCTATTTTTGTATCACATTTGGGCTGTTGCTAATTTCTTAAAGGCTGGTTATACTAGCATTACAATTTTTATTTGTTATACCATATTTTAATTGTAGTTAAACTTTTCAATTTTTGCTCCTTATTGCAATTATTTTCTTAATTTTTTTGTAGAATTCTTCTCTTCAGCATCATTAATTAGTATATTCTCATCCTTGGTGATGATTTATGTCAAAATATTTTATTTTATGCTTTGAAATACAGGAAATATATTTTTCATATATTTTTTTTAAATATGATAAAAAAAGGTTGTTAAACGCCATTTCAATAGAGTTTTTTGGACATAAACTGTTATGAAAATAAAATGGTTTAACTAATGGAATGTTCGAGGATAAGAATGTCATGAAAAATATTAGGTATATAAATGATATATGAGTAAATATTGAGAACCTTAAATATAATTAAAATATAATGTAAGAAATAAAAATTGTGGTTTGTATATAATTATTATTTCTTAAAAGTTGAAGGACAAACAGTGCAATTTACCGTTTTCATTAGGTGTCTATTTTGACATCTCCAGTATAACCCTAAATTTTTAAAGTTTATTCCTACGCCTGAACATATCTAAACTCCGTAAAGGCTGCAGAAACCCCTAGTCCTAAAACCCACAGAAATTTCATCGTCTTAAATTGAAAAATCGGAACAAAATAATGTCGGATAGAGAAGAAGTTGACAGCGACTCGGGTGCTCCAGAGGAGTTTACAGTCCAGCAGGTTTGTCAACTGTAAAATCATAATTTTGTATGATGTGAACGAAAAACTGCTTATTAAATCATATAACTTGTGTGCTTGAATTTCAGGGAATACAAAAGGACGAGGAGATTAGGAAAGTCCAAAAAGAAAATAAGGCCAGGTATGATTTTGTATTTTTTTTTTTTGAAAGCAATTGTAAATTTTCAGCTTAGGAATCATTCCAACAAACGATATAATAATATATGTCGAAGAGTATTGATAATGTGTTTTTTCAGAGAGCAATTACGGTTAAGATGGACCTTTATATAAATCTGGCATTCAATCTGCTGTTAATGGAACTCCAATTTGACTGTCCAAATTATGCTGTCATGTTGTTAGATAACAAGGGAATAGAACTGATGTCAGGAGTTCAAAACTGCTGGATAATTTTAGGAGTTTCGATTATAGATGTAACATTGCTAATATTGGTTAGAATAGTTGGGCAAGATTTTCACTTGGAACATGTAGCATTCTCCCGTGGATTTAATTAATTCATGATATTTGATACTCAAAACAAATATAAATTGGAGGGCATAAGTTTGGCAAAGAAGTTTCGAGTATTCATACAAAATTTAATTCCATCCATGGTTTTGCCAATTGATGAAGCTTTGTTGAATTTGAAGTTTGAACATTATTTTGAACTGAGGACTACTAATTTTTTTTTCCCCTTAATCGCTGTCTTTGTCGATTAATTATAATGAAAATGGGGGTTTAGGAGATGCTGTAGAACTATATTGTTGATATTTCCTAGTTAGGGTTGGACAAAACTCCTGAATTGAACAGGACCGGAACTGAGCAATTATTCTTAAATTAAATACCTGAATTGGTATTAGAATCGATAACCGACGGGTTCGGTTCAATTCTCGGTTCTTGATCAAGAACTGAATCTCCCTATTTTTTTAATTAATTTATTTTAAATAAGCCTAATTATTTTATTTTTTTCTAAATAAATTTGCTAACTAGTTAATTTAGTCTAAACCCTAAAGTATATATATATTTTTTCTATTTCTAATTTTCAGTTCAAGCCCAACTTAATCAAATTGACCTAAGTTTTACTCAAATATGTTATTCTACCATAGTGACATTTCTATTTTTCTGGAGAAATCGAATTGAAACTGAACAACGTCTCTTTTAATTATTGTAAACTCTCTATCTTTCTCTTCCTGTGATTTTGACATTCAAATTTATGAAAAATTCAGCAAAGAGAGACACAAAAGACACATAAGATTAAACTACGTTATTTTGTAAGAGTTAAGATTGAACATGTTATTAGTTAAATTAATGTAATTTTGTAAATATTAAAATTTTTAATTATAGTACAGAGCTCAGGAACTGAACCGAGTAGAACCAAATTCAAACGGTTCGATAATTAAATTTGGACCCGACGTTTCCACTTACTAAATACCCGAAAATTTCGAGAGAACCGAATCGAATCAAACCATGCCCAGCCCTATTCCTAGTTGTTTGAGGTCGATTTGCCAGCATCATTTGAATTTCGAGATAAGTAAAATGCTTCATGCTGGTGGTTTTCATTATTTCTCGATTAAACTCTATCGGGACTTTAAGAGAACTTCTTGAGAATCGTATAATTGATGAACATGTGAATCTCTTCACAGTAATTGGTAGTGAGTATTCATATTGTATGTGACAAAGAATGATCCCTTTTTTGATAGAGTTGTTCGTGAAGGTAAACAACGTCGCAGAAAATGGGCTGAAAAATTGACTCCACGACCATCACGCAGAGATGGCAGCGCCAAAAAGAAAATAAAAACTGAAGGAATGCTACCAGATGATATTGTCCAACATGTTGCAGCCATTGAGAAGGCAGTTAATAAGAAGTATGCTACTGCACTTTTTGTGCTTCCTCTTTGCCCCGGGTTCACGCCCGTGTTGCTGTGCTTGTTTCTGTAACACGAGTTATTAACCAAGACAAGTTGTTTCTGCAGGAAAGTGTTCTTATCTGACTCTGAAGACGAGAAAGCTGAGGAGAAGAATGCTTCTAGAAAGAAAAGGACGAAAGATTCTAGGTGAGTCTTGCCTTCCGCTCTCTCACACAGACACACAGGCTTGTGCACTTGTTCATGGCTCGTCTGCTCACTCATATCAGAAGAATTCCCTGCAGATGCGGTGCCTTGCAGGAAAAAGTTCTCAAGGAAGATTAACTTTAAATACATTTTTGTTGATTTTTTGACAGGCTAGATATTGCTATGTTAAACGACCGGCCTGCTCACTGTCCACAAAGTTCACTGGACTTTTTGAAGAAACGAAAGATGCAGGTTGCGAGATCTTCAGCTGTTTTGAACAATTCAAACCAAGCACTACGCCTCCTTTGCTCATCTGGCTTGCTCAAAAAAGATTGGAGATGAATGGCTGTACACCTTAGTATGCAATGATCTGACATGTTATTCTAGCGTCTCCTGTTGCCCACATAACAAGCATAAATCAGTAAGACTGTAACTACAGTGGTTTCATTTATTTAAACCCTTAGAAAGGTGGCATTTTACTATGTTGAATTAATGGTTGGATTTGACTTAAATTTTGATGGTGGGTAAATGTGGTTAAAATTAATGGTGGTTAAATGTGTGGTTGGATTTGATTTAAATTTTTAGCTGAACGAAACAAGGGCTTAGTTATCACCAAATAGTTTAGAGGTGGACCTGCCTGATGTATGAACTAAAGGAATACCTAAATATGATTTGGGTTTTCCTTGTGACAGATTATAGACATTGCTAAATGGTATCCTATTTTGCCTCGATACATCAAACAAAAGCCTCAGGTTATAGGTTGTTCCAAATCAGCATCCATTCTACATTTGCAATTATCAGGCAAAATATTATTTGTTGTTACTTTACAATAAATTATCTTATACTTCCCATGTGCTTGTGGCCTTGATTTTATCTACAGTGCTAATAGTATAATTATATTTTTACTTTCTTCAACTATACTCTGCACTTTTCTATATGCATATTATTTAACTTATACTCAGGTTTAAAAGTGATCTGGCTTTGAGTTTCCAACAGACCAAATAAAAGGTGCAAATGATTTTAAAATTGTAACATGAGGGTTTAAATTCAAAGAATTTGCAACTTTTTAGCGATTCTACAAAATCAAAGAGGACTGAGTAGTAGAGAATCTTGGTCGTCCCTATGTTGCATCAGACCTGAATGACCATACTTCTGAAGGCCTTTGTTATGTGAAGGATAAAATGTTTTCTATTAGATGAATGAATAAATTCTGCTCGTTGAATTTCTGAACTCAAAATTTGATCCGCTGGGGTTCATTAAATGAAATGAGCATGCAAGATGGGGATACGAAATCATTTGCCAGAAATGGAACTTGTGGAGAGAAGCTTCAAGAGCGCTACTGGAAGTGCGGTGGTCGTATGAACAGAATGTCCAAGGTTTTTACAGTTGGAAATTATAGGATGTGTGGCTGAAACTTCGTTACCACGTAGCCAAATCAAGATACTCAATTCGAGAAACTAATGAAATCAATGCTGTAAACATATCAACTTTAATTTATTTCAATGAGACAACTTAGGAATACATACAAATGCCTGGGACTCATCACTGGGATTTTCCAGGCAGTCATTTCACTGAGATATAGCCTATCTAAAAAGTCTTCTAGGGCCAACCAAGACAAACCTTCTCCCCCAACACACCACTTCTAGCGCCAACAGCCACCATATTCCGGTGACTCACCAGAGCCAGGGTCAGGAGAAATTATCTCCCTGTTTGAGCCATTTCTCGTTATAATCTGATACTTTACCAGCGTTCTCTGGTGCTCGAATTGCCTGGAAAGTGTTCTTAACCTTGTTCAATGTCTTATGGTACCAGATACGCCTGAGGACGACCTCTTTGTCGAGTCTTTGGGCCGAATTTGGAGTCGAGGATGATTTGAGAAAGAGCTGATTGGTGACTGAATCCAGGGTTTCAGTCTCCTCATTCACCTTCTCTGATTCAGAGATAGTTGGCTGGTTTTTGGATATCATAAAATCCATTTCTTGCAAAGACTAATTGTAGTTGCTAGAGCAGAGGAAGTGGCTCTTATTTGTAGAAGTGCGCAACATTTTCTGTGGGCCTGCTTAGCTTTTGGAGGTCGTTTCTTGTTCTTTTGTACCTTAAATTTCTGTCCCAGGTTTATGTTTTGGCAAGTGGTTTCACCCTCTGTTGCGGGCTTGGCTTTTAGTGCTTCAAACTAATTGTTCACGGAAGGGTGAGGTGATGATAATGATAATTTATTAATCATAATCACAATTGTAGATAATAATAATAATGTTATTAATAAATTTAGGATAAAAATGTATCACCGTCCTAATTTTTGTTTGTCCCAATCAAAAAATCTTTTTAGCAAATATACTACAAATATTTTATAAATATAGCTCTAATTTTTTTATATTTCTCCTCGAACAGTCTAAGAAAGAATTGTACTTTAAATGAAAAAAAAATTATACTTAAAAAAAAATCTATTTCATTAGGGTTGAGAGTTGTTGAGCACTAATAAATCTATGGTAAAAGAAGTGCTTATTTTGAATAATTTACAAGTTATCCGTTTGAAAGTGAAATGATGACATGTGCCAGGAAACAGTGGGCTGCTTAGCAGTTTACAGTTCAAACCAAGGGGCTTTGCGTCGTCCTCTCAAATCTAGATCCTAAATATTGGGTCCGTTAGCCCACAGTTCGGTAGGAGCTACGTAAGAAATTGATTGTTTGTGGGTCCTCAAACTGACTGATTATAGATTCAAGTTTTTCCTTTTGGAGACTCCACTTCAAGGCTTCAAGCCAAAGGGGAGCCACGTTATTTTCAAAAAAATACATTTTTCGACAATAATTTGACATTATTTTAACTAAATATTTTTCAATAAAATAATATTACACGTGAATCTAAAACTTTTCCTTATTTTTTAACCACACATTTCTCATTGATTTAACATAAATAATATATTTTGTTCCCTAGAATGTGGCTCAAACATGGGCATATATTGATTTACATGAACTTGTACAAAATTTACACCAGCTTTCGATAGCAAACAAGAGACTGAATAAAAATAATTACTACTGCTATTCATCATTTTTATCAAGAAAACTTAACAAAAATCCGCTAACGATCCTTCTTGCTATGGGATTCGGTATATTGCGACACAAACGTCCATCAATATATGCGACAATACCGGACAACACAAACTTCCCAATTCCCCATTTCCATACGATCTTAACCTTCGGCTCTGGTTCTGGTTCCGGTTCCTCACCACTGGATGCCAGGACAACAGCTTTCGAGTCATCAGGCTTCAAATTTTCCTTCCATTTTATGTTAGCAATGACCTTACCAGCTTGCTTTCTTAACATACGAATTGCGTAACTGACAAATAGATGCTCACACAAGGTCAGCACCGTCGGACCGATTCTCCATTCCTGTAATAAAAACTCGGTTATTAAGTAGGATGGAAAACTGGTTACAAGGTACGACTGAGAGAGTAAAATGGGATGGGCCGGCACGCATACTAAATTGGCCAATCCCGATCCAAGAATTCGGTCGTTATGTATTTGAAGCGATGTATATTTTTCAAAATATGCCTCGCAAGATAGTACCTATTTAAGTTGACAAGTGACCAAACAAATTTTATAAAGCACATAAATAATTCCTAAATGTTTCCTTAGTTGGACATAGAGATGTTACTCATTCCCCTCACACGAACATAATATATTTCTGGGGATTGAGTATAAGCTTACATTTTCGCCTCGCATATATCGCAGAGAATGCGAAGCTTTTGAAGACTCTCCCTTCAACAACCCTTTACTTACAAGAAAACTCTTTACACGTTCTGTTATCTCTTCTATAAGAGCACTATTTGGAGGCAGGTTCTTCAGAACTACCTGTAAGATCAGTCAATTTCAGATGTCACTCGGTCATGGTAAATATAGTAGAGGTCAAGAGGAAATTCAGGATATATACGTATCTAAACATGTGCATACGTGTATGTTTGTGTACTAGTACACTTAAGATAACAGGCAGAAAAGGTCGTCACCAAAATAGGAAATTACCTGGTTTTCAATGACTCTCACCCTTAGGTATTCTTGTTTATACATTGTATCTAACATAGCTTGCAGGTATCCCTCAATGTATAACTACATCATTCAACACATATAGTTAAGAGACTATAAAATGCTATTAGAACTCAAAAATCGAAATGTAGTTTAAACTGTACAAATTTAAGACTAAAAGTAGTTGCTCTTTCTGTTATGATATCTTCAACCAATCCTTTCAGTTCTCTTATGCATTCCATGCACATTACTCCCAGGAAAATTGTTTCATTGCACTATCATGGGGTAAATTGCTCATTAACCATGTTTTAGCTTCACAGGGAAATATGACAGTACCTCATCAACCCCAGGACTGCAGTCGAGCTTAATTTTCCGATCTGGACCACCTTCCATGAAAGCACTACCTAGTAGTGACGGCTCCATTGCCAACTTAAGAATTCCATGGCGGAAACCAGTCGCCTATAGAAAGTAATAAAGTCCAAATAGTGTCACTTGAAACACCGGTAAATTAACATTTTACATAACTAGATGCATGTAAATATCACCATTCCATGGAAACCATTCGTCTCTGCCCCCTTAAGAACAGAGTCTGATATTTCAGTTACTGCAGCAAATAATATATTGGATCCCGCCATTTTCAACTGAAAAAGAAAAAAAGTATCGAATGTTACGGAAAATTGAAAAATAATAATTAGTATTTTAATTTCGAAGAGAGACTAAACCTACAGTTTTTCCAAGGTCACCAAAATATCGCTTTGTTCCAGAAAAATCTTTGTCGTTCACGAATTTACTGATGAGCTTGAGTGTACCTATTTCCACAATTTAGGGACAAGAAATACATGATGACGGCATCATTCTAGTAGGTTAGTGTAAAAATTAAATAGTACGGATGAACTCAACCATTCTAACTCCAGTGAAACAGTAGAGAAGACAAATATTACAGCATATAAATTGGTTAATATATCTTGAGTTCTGTATCCATGTTTCATTTGAATTAATCTTGTGAATCACCAGGAAAAAAACTGAAAAGACTTCCCCCTTTTCTTTGGTATGTAAGAGAATCTGTGCAAGCTCATGAACTAATGGCCCTTGAGCATAATTTGTCAAATACTCCCTTTTACAAAATGAGTCTTAGCCAACATAGTTGCAGAAGACAAATATACAGCCCATTCAAAAGTAACATGACCAATGAGCAAACCTCAAGACACGATTTTATTCAATCCCATGCTTGTTTTGCACGTGTATACAGTGAGGAAGATACCTATGGTAACACCAGGAAGATTGGGCAAGCCACTCGAGGGATCAAAAAAAACATCAAGAGAAGATGATGCTAGATCATCGAATATAGAAGTAAAAGACGGTGGAAGCAATGGGCTTCCCTTTGCAATATATATAGCTCTCATGGCATACCTGTAAAGATCAAACAAAATTAAGGAAATTTCCAAATAATCCACGTAAAATAAGGAAAGAAACACTTCATTTGTAAAGGGTTACCATGAATAATGCTGTGCACATTTTATAGTTAATTCGCGTAAGGTTATCAAAGCATGTGTGACAAGGACCCCATTAAGCTCAACAGTCGTTCTTTTAATGGCAGGAACCTGTTGGGGTGGGGGGGCGGTATACGCTGGACACAGGCAAGCCAACAAGTATGAAAAACCAAAAATGGCGTTCAACTGTCAAGAGGATTACCTTTACTCTGATTTGGTTATATTTATACCGGTCAGTGAACATAGAATCCCACTTGATGTTATCAAGCCTGGTAGTAATTATCGGTGAATAATTCGATGGCTCACCCAGATCCATCTCCTTCAGAATATCACAAATCAGATGATGTCTAAAGTTATGCAATCAAGAAAAGAAAACTTGAAAAGTTGCGAGTAAATAAATATGACCCATCTCGAAACACATTAAATTTTCAGATAAGGTGGTTCACATTGTAACATGGTTTTAGAGAGGGCAAAAACGAGTTCAAACATTACATTTTATCCTGTATTGAGCCAGTAAATTTCCATGACCTCAAATGCAGCACAATAATACACAGTTCAAGGAATAACCCACTGAATATCAAACACAGAAGTTTCAGTGGAGGCAGTAAGTTTTAAATTGCAATACATGAAATAATATAAATTACAATATCTCAAATTGCAAAAGAAAGACGGAACATTATCGACTCAAATACATGTGGCCAGTGACATGTTTTTGGACTAGGAAAACTACAAAACAAAATGTGACCTGCTAATACTGCTTAAAAACTAATTTGACTTCAGAAATTATAACACTTTCAGAAATGCATTCAGCGAATGAACATTAAGAAAATTCACATTTAAGAGCAGACAGTCAAAACATATCATAGTGGTTTAAGCATTAGACATGAAAATTGACCTGCTTTGCATGTCCTAGCAAGTGAATTGCAAAATACGAGATTCTCAACCTCATCTTTGTGCCAGTGTGGAACACAGCATCCACCCTGTGACTATCAGAGAACTCACAAATTCTCAAAACTCGTGTGACACCATCTGCATATACTTCATAACCCAACTTCGCAGTCTCCGTGCCAATTAATTTACTGTATGTAGTCCTTTTCTGATCTTCAGGCTTCTTTTCCACAGGTAAATGAAATCCCAAACCTCGGTTCTGCTTGGTCTGATAAAGTGGCTTCCATGCACGCACCTTATCTAAGTTGATTTCACACAACATGTGCAAATCTAAAAAAAAAGGAAGCTAAATAATTACATGCATGGTGAACAAGTAAATTTCATTAACAAGACTAGAAAAAACTATTCCACTTTTCGCAGTGGCAACTACATTCTTTCTTAACCTTGACAAACAAAAAAACATCAACATGCAGTACAAGTATACGTTTAATAACATCAAAATGCAAAGTTATAAGTTAATGAAATCTAATATCGTGAACCCAATTTCCGCTAGCTCTCCCATTTTCTTTCTTTCTTTCTACCTTCAACTCTATAGCTACATCCCAGAAAAACTCCAACAATGAAGACTCGATCTAATTATAGAACTTCATTCTGTTGATTTAGACTAAAACTTCAAAACTGCGTTGTGTAAATAAACTTGGGAATAAGATTTGAATACGTGATTGCTTTTCAGATTGCAAAATAAAATCCTACAAAAAAAACTAGGGTTGCAATAGAAGGGCAGTGCTTAAGCCTGTAGAAGCCAATTAGCACATTCGCCCTAAGAAGCAATTGCATGAGTGAGTTGTTAAAGTGCTCAAAATGATCATCACTATAGTTATCCATCAAACTCAGAAATATAGCTTCAACATCAGTTACTTTCCAGTGACAAAAACGAAGTTTACTCCTGTTAACTTTGTCTTCATGCAATGTATGAAAATTAAAAGTAGAAAGTAAAAGTATCATTTAAAAAAAAAAAAATTATAATATAATCATAAAGTAAACTAAACAGAGTCAAAGAGGAAGAATGAGTACCATCAACTTGAACAACTAGCTTATGAGGAAGAGTCGAGTCATCCCAGACATAATTGACAGAGTGTCCAGCTCCCAAAATCTCTGGTTCTGATGAACCCTGACAAATATTGACAATTGTTAAGGAAATACATATATAATATATATGAACACAAAATTCTGTGAACTACATTGTAGATGAAGAGTGCGTTCAACCTTCTGATAGTAAGTTATAGGAGCATCACGTAGATAGTTCTCAATCCGATAAGGGAGGTCAGTTGTTGGAGACCTGTGGAAGTGTAAAATGATGCTAGGCCCTCCCTCTACCACATTAACAACTGCAAATTCAAATAAATTTTGTTTGGATGTCTCTGATCGCCCTTCTGAACATTCTAAGGATCGTCTAAATTTCAGAAAAAAACGTCCAAATGAAGCCACGCATACTGGCCCAGACCAACCTAATCCAGCTTCAGTAAGTCGGAACTGAATGAAAAGCAACGTATCATCTCGAGATTTTGTATGTTTTCTGAGAAGGCTATTAATAACATTGGTTTCTCTCTTCCTTCCTGACCCACTCTTTAACCTTAATGCTATCCTCTCTTTGCTGTTGAGAGCAATTAACCCTTCCATATCATCCTTTTCAATAAGACAAAAATTGCTATTAAAGCCCAAATCAGAAGTTTATCAATACCCTGTTCAACTAGACAATAATTAAAGATGGAGCTAACCTCCAAATAACATTGCCGAATGGTGATTTCTTCTTCTGATTCATTTGATACGACATATCGTGGGTTCAATGACACCAACTGTGTTGAGACTACTTTGGAAACAGATGGCCTTAAAGACACCCCCAACCGCATAATATTTTTCAACCCAATATTTTCTTCTACTTCTAGGTCAATCTCTGTAAGTCCAGATAAAGCATCCAAGTCCAATTGTGCCTCTGATGCTCTCTCTTCTAACAATTTGAGGCACACTTGGTGGCGCCTAGCATTTAAAACAAGAGGTCAATAAGGGGCTAAATATATATGCTCAAAAATAATTCTTATGGTCAGTTTTTTATAGGTAAATCCTATTAGGAAATAATGTCTGTTCTCCGCGTTGTCCCTGACCGCCAACAGACAAAAACACAAAAAGACACATGAAATATAATGCTTAACTCCCTTGTTCTTTTTGCCTCTCATTGTATGCCACAAGTTATGTTTTTGTTTCTGTTAGGTCACCATTACCACTTGCATTTCGATCATGGAGAACTCGTACAAGGGACTCTCTTAGCAATGTAATCAAACTCCCACTCAATGTTCATGCTGAAATTGGCTCCAGTGTCCCCTGATATATAATTAATGGAAATGCCTACGTGCATTATGGTAAGTCACTCGTGGCAATTTTGGTAGTTTAAGTGTAATGTAGGCATAAGCAATATTGTGCTAAAGCTGATAAAGTTGTACCTTTCAAAACGAAAAATTTAAAAGAAAAGCCCAGCCTAGGACTAAAAACACTTGATTTTATGTAAACTCGTACGTTTTTTAAGCTTTGCCAAACATGCTCTATCTCCAAACAGGATACCCTTACTAAAATATAGAGCACTTGCTTAAGAAGCAATGCACTCACTTCATGAACCATGATTTGATTGATTTTGGGGGCAAATACGACCCCAGTTCGGGAGGTATATTGGAGGCCATCTCTTCTTCATACCTGCAAAAGTATAATGTTTTTGAAAGGAGAGACGTCCAAAACGCAAAGGGTATCGAACAAATAGTGGGAATTCATTGATTACCTAACCAGAAGCTTCTGATTAGCAGAAAAGCAAAACAAAGGTGTATCTGTGCCATTTTCCACTGCATATGTAGTAAAGATAGCAGCCTGTAACAAGTACAAGATTTTTTTCATATCAAATTTAGAACTGTAAAAAAATTGGGTAAAGGGTAAATACCTCTAATACGCCTCTATGCCCACGAGACAATCTCAAAATAGCAAAATACTTCCCACCACCAAAGTCCAACTCAATGTCCAAATGGTAGACATCACTTTTTTGCTTCTGTAATTTCCTCGCCCAGTCTTTACTATTGACTGGTTTGCAACTTGAACCAAAGGATGTTAAAGTGACAGTGAAGTATATAGTGGCCGGGTTAGCATATAAGTTAACAGTTGATCCACCAGGAATAGTTGAGCAACTCCACAAGTCGCCATGGTCCATGGTAGCAAGTGGATCTGAAAGGAAACAAGAGTCAAAAGCAATAACATATTACAAGAAAGAAAATAAAATTCAAATCATGTTTTGCTTACCTCCATCAGTCAAATTCACATGTATTTCGGTGTATAATAAATTGAAGACCTTAATGGTAGGAAGAAGAAAAATTTCCTTCTGTTCTTGCAGGGCAACTGGAAGATTTTTATTTGCAGAAGCATATCCAAAGTTATCTAGATGCATAACAGGTACATCCTTCCTGATGCTTTGTATAAGAAAATGTATCTCAGAAATATGACCTCCTTCAGATTTGAGAGCACAATGTGCAGTGCTCAGGGAAGATTTCTCCGACTCCACAGAAAATGCCTTCCTCACCCGGTAACTCAATTTATCAAATATCCCAGATAGACTTACAGGTTTTCCACCCTTAAGTTCATCTGACCATTCCACTGTTTCATTCTTAAAATTTTTCATACTAGTGGCAATATCAGGTCTAAAAGAGAATACGAAATTTCCTGCCAATAAATTCTTAAAACAGTTAATTTCTGGGTAAAATCATAACTAGGCAAGACAAACAAAGTTTACTTGAATGCCTGAAACAATGAATTTAGTGTCTACTGGGGGAGAAACTAAAAATTGACACAAACAAAATCTCCCTTGCTTAATGGAACTACATGGATACCTTTGGAGGACAAACAATTCGATTATTATTATTACTATGATTAGACTTCCACCTGATACAATATTTGAATTTCTTTTTGCCGTATCGTTAAGCAGTTATATAAGAAATGTAAGAGGAATTAGTCTATACAATCTTAGAATCAACAAGTGAGTTCCAACAATTTATCCATCACGCGTGCCAGAATCTAAAATTCAACCAACCAACGGGAAATATCTAGATGCATGCAACTAGAACAATAAACTAAGTTTTGTTCCTAATACTTTTCCTCTAATTACCAGAATACCTTTAGCTTTCATGAAAGTTCCTTTAGCTTTCAAGCAAATTTCTCTTCCTAAGGACAACATGAAGTCAAGAGGCTCATAATCTTGGGGTGAAGGTGGACAGAAAGACCTCTCTTCCGTTTATGAATCTTGGAAAGATGGTGAGAGCACTGGGAGATGATGAATCTAGTAGGAAAGACTTACCTATCAAAAAAAAAAATCTAGTACGAAAGAGTTATCTACATTTTTGTATTTTTTGCTCTCTCAAGGGTCCAATACATTTGTATTTCGTTCAGATTTGGGGCTCAAGGCAGTGAATTTGATATTTGGCAGTGCCTTGGTGTTTGAAACATGCTCAAACTTCTGGGCCCACTTCATTTATATAAACACACTGCCCGTGGGCAGAGCATGCCAGGGCCTGGGACAAGCCCCTACTGTGCTGGCCAGTCCCTCTTCACACCGCTAGCTACACTTGAAAGAACACTTAATGATATGCAAAAGTCTCTATTGTAGCTTTCACGTACCAGAGCATCAAATATTTATCTAATTGAAAATTTATAACAAAGTACCCAACTGAACAATTTGTAATTGAAATATAAGGCATACCAACACTCAAAGATGTCAATGCCTTTCTCAATCCACCAGACAAATCAGTGGCACCAAATGCTGCCATGGAATCATCAAGCACATCTCCAGCTTTTAGCACCAGAGTAGCAGAGTCAGTTTCCTCATGCTGAGGCCTTTGAAAACGCAGCTCCAAAGAGAAATCAGTATCATTGTGTACTTTTAATAGAGGAGAGACAGAAATTGACAAGCCATCCTATGAGTACCAAATACCAAAGAGAAAACCAGAATTAATTCCTAAGTGAATTTCGGTACATATCTACTGCAAAAAAGCAGAGATGGATGCCTACCTCAATTCCCCTTGAAATTTCAACCACAATAAATGGACCGGGGAAAGACTTTGAATCTGATAAAAAATGGTAAAATGGACAACCCGTAACAAATTATTATCCACTACAATAACTAAAAAAGTATTACTATAAATATGAGAACAAAATGTGAACAACAATAAGCACAGAGGTTATAATAATCAAATGACTCAGGATACCATCTAAGTCATTATTCAGCGATATAAGCTTGTTGATAAATTTCAAATTAGCACATCCCAACACATGTTTTAGCACGGATTTCATGTTTCATTGTTTGATCCTCCTATGTTCACGACTTGGAAAGATCTTCATCTTCATCCATTTTAGTGTCCATAATTTAATTGGTAATGCTAAAGATATGGCAGTTACCCTGTCCAACATATTCTCCCGAGAGTTTAACTTTCAAGGTTAAACATGAACCAGCAGAATTGCTAGGACCTAATATCGTCACAGTCCAACTACCTAGATGCCACTATTACACAAAACCTGAACCCATATTCATGTTATTTGATTTGCAGGAAAGTTGACCTTAAGGAAAAATATAAAAAGACAGGATTTGAACCTGAGACATTTATGGTTGATGTCAACTGACCCCTCGATATTTTTATTGATGGTAGAATAATAGGCCAAAGGTTAGATACTCAAAATGTCGACCATGACATTAGAGGAAAGTAGGAAAGTGGAATATATGTAGGTCATCTTGGATCTCTATCTTCTGCGTATGTTGGTACGAGGGAGGTACAATTGGCTTTCCTTCGAAAATTTTCTGGTCTCACAAAGAATATCTTGTTATGAAAGAATTTTTGGTCATATATTCAAGAATGTCCAATTCAGATTTTAAACTAGCTACCTATATTCTACTAACTGGTTTCCATGTCAAACTGTGTTATGCATTAAAGACCATTACTTTTTGATTTGAAGTTCTTGAAAATGAAAACAACATGAGCACTAATATATAGATATTTACCCCCCACAGAAAATAAACCGGGATACCATCCTGCCAGGGAAAAATATTGAGGAAAACTGGCATTAAAAGTTCGTGCCTTGACATTTGTCCTCTTTTTACCAGAAAAGATCAGACTAGAAATTTCCAATCATTGGCAAATACTCATTCTTTAAAACATCAACCCATGGCATGTTTGGACCAAACAGGATTTAAGGAAGGCGTGTTGCTATGCCAATCTAGCATACCAAAATGCCTTTATGGGATACCTACGGTGTGATCATAGCACAACCTCATCAGTAATATGTGAGATAATTGTATAATACGCAACAAAGGTAGAACTCCTTAAAATATTTCACACTGGGGCATAATAATCACAGATTAAAGATTCAACTAACATAAAGTTAGTGATTACCACATCACAGGTATTGTTATTAAATCATTCTTAGAATTTTTGGCATCTAAATAATGTTTTTTTTCATATCCAAAACTTTCTTCCGTTGAAATTCCCTATAAGTAATTATGATACCCATAGCAGTGTAAAAATTTCCGCACAGAACAAGAAACAATAGCGTTACTTCGATTGAATTTTCTATGATGTGACAAAACTGAAATCGGATAACTCACCTTGTGATGACACAATACGTGTTCTCCAAGCAAATTTTTGAGCTTCTAAAAGTGAAAGGTGGATTGGAGAAGTTGAAAGGAAGCCTCGCTGTGAAAGCTGTACTGAGAACAAAGATGCTTCTGGATGTTGATTTGCCAAAGCTAAGTGCCTTGAAAATATGTTCATTCATGAGTTTATAAAGTGCTTATTCTAACTTTA